GGGACGTGCACTTGGAATCGAAAGATTGCAGGTTTGAATCCCCGACCAGCGAGGTACCACTGAGGTACCCTGAGCAAGGTACCACCCCCAGGCACTGTTCCCCGGGCGCTGAATTAGCTGTCCCCTGCTATGTCACGAAAGTCACATATGGGTTAAATGCAAAGGACACATTTCCTTGTTGTGCACTGTGTGCTGTGGTGTGTTGACAATGACCACTGATCATCTAATTCTAATAAATGCAAGTGTGGGTCAGCAGGAGGCTCACTGATGCCACAATACTGGATTTGGGTGACCTTTTGTGTTTCCATGGCGATTGATCAACTGCCCCAAGCCCACAGTTACCTCAGTTATTGAAGGTCAGCCGGCCCTGAATGGACTTTCCTGGGCTTGATAGGGCCAGTTTGGTGGAGGTGAGCTGTGGTTGGAGTGACGGTGAGTTTTTGCATCAGGATCTCAAGGTCACCTTTTTAGAACTGGCTGCTTTATATTTTGTCCTTCATCATAACTGGATTTTGATCATGATTTTATCCTCCTTAAAAGGGGCTTGTTCTATGGTGGAGGTTTGCTGCATAACCTGCAGCTTGAAGATTACAGTGTAGGATCATGTAGAAATTAGTGCTGAAGCCCAGTTTGATAATCATGTGACGCTAAGAATAGATTTGCACTATAACACATTCCTGCTCGGCATGTACAGAAACTAATGACAGGAAGAATTAACCGTAGGCTTCTAGCCTCCCCTTATCCTGATCTGACGTAATATTATGCCGGTGGCCTGTTATTCTTTTCAGTAATTTCATTTTTTAAAAGAGGAATTAATTCCAGCATCGAGAAAGAAAGTGCACCACAATGGAGATGTAGTATTTCATTAAATGTAATTTGATATTTGTCAAATGAACGAATGAGATTCAATTATTGAATTCGGATCAAATGTCTGTGTGTTTTGTTTGTATTAAGTGAAGGGAAAAAGGTTAATAATATATAATGATATAAAAGCTGGAACATGACTGAGTCCACCAGCGGACTTTTGGCACAACAGAAATATTATACTCAGTTAATTATGTACTTGTTTTCTCTCTCGCTCCCTCTTTCTCTCAATTCAAAAATAAGTTCTTTGTGTGTAATACTGTGATATCTCACCTTCTGTATATCATAGATGCCCCACATGACTGCCACCACATCAATACATCTCTGCTCTGCTTCTCTCTTGCTTCCTTCCTTCCTTCCATCCATCCATATCCATCCATAACTCCCTGTCCACTACAATGTCACGGTCTGTACCTGTCAATCCCACTGGACCGATATCATTCTGTTCTCTCTGTCCTACCCACTGACAGGGATGATGTTTCTGTGTCTCACCACGGCTTCCCAGCTTCTCTCTTCCAGCTCCCATAGGAATGTGAGTGTTGGTCACCTTTCTGCCACTCAAGTGACTGTCCTTGATGTTATGTGTCTGTTTCCAGTGTAGTGTCCTCGGATTCTCATTCTCAGCCGCCTACAGCAGCCTTAAGAACATAAGAACTATACAAACGAGAGGAGGCCATTCGGCCCATCGAGCTCGCTTTGGGAGAACTTAACTAATAGCTCAGAGTTGTTAAAATCTTATCTAGCTCTGATTTAAAGGAACCCAAGGATTCAGCTTGCACTACGTTATCAGGAAGACTATTCCATACTCTGACTACACGCTGTGTAAAGAAGTGCTTCCTTAAATCCAGTTTGAAATGTTCTCCCGCTAATTTCCACCTATGGCCACGAGTTCTTGTATTTGAACTAATGCTGAAGTAACTATTCGGTTGAACAGCATCCAAACCTGTTAGAATCTCATAGACCTGGATCATGTCCCCCCTCAGTCTCCTTCTCTCTTGAAGGAAAATGGAGAAGGTCCCCTTCACTGGTTTGTATAGGATGTTGTCATTTAATGGTTTATTGGCTCCAACTATATCATATATAATACTGGAATGGAAGCTTGAAAGACAATCACTGGTCCTTTTTTCAGCTCTACTCTGTTTTAAAATGACCACAGCCATTATGATCGTTCAATTTGAGTTGGGGAGCTTGAGATGACCCATCACATCCTATAAACAAATTCTGCCAAAACTACCTCACAGAGAAAAGAATGTGATCTGATAGTTTTTCACGATCAACAGCCTCAGTTCCATTTCAATACAAAAGGGACGAAATCAGTTTCAAATCCCCCCTGTAAACAAAAAGATCCTCTCATGGTGATAGGGGCCACAGCCAAATCTATGCCTTTGCTTATAACAAATACAGCTCAAGGATGCTCTCTATACACTACTACCAAATAGTGATCCATTGTGCCAACTGAACCGCAATCTCACAAGCATTAAAAGTAACTTCCCATAAATCACTGCACCAGCACGTGGCCAATTGTACGTCATCTGTTGCCATTCCGTCTGATTTTTTTTTTTTTTTTTTACATTTTTACATGATCTGATGTTTTCATGCAACGATCAGCGTGGAGAGGAAACGGTAATGATAGGGACGAACGCGTTTGATGTAGGAAGAAAGGGGAAGCTTTTATTATCAATTATTATTCTTACTATTTTTTATTTATCAGCAGGATGTGGATTTTTTTTTTTTCTCCGGCCCAAGTGAACTTGAATATGGAAGAATATGTTAAACGCATTTCTCCTTTGGTAGTCGTATGATTTAAAGATTATAGAGTGGCAATGAAAGAGCTGTGAGATGTAAAACCTGAACAAAGCAAAGTGTTAGCCTTAAATGCTGACACAAGTATCTAGTAGTATATGTGAATAGTGTGTAAGAAAGTAGGTGTCTGTCGCCACCGATAAGATTGCTAAGAAAATTAAGCGCACGTCGTGAATCGACCAACGTTAAACATTTGAGTTACGTTTTTAGAAAAGTTACGATACTTAAGATTTTTCTTTTTGCTGTCTGTTGGAGGCTCACCTAATAATTTTACTTGGAAGAATGATGTGACACTAATGAGGCATTTTTAAATAATCTTCTACCCCGTGAAGATCCCACATTGTGGACCACAAATCTTTCCCACATCAGTGTTGGCTACTCCGAGCCTCCTCATGAGTCTGCCTTCTTCCCACCATGCCACCATCTTTCGCTTCCTTCCTGCTCCCACTTCAGGTCTAACCCAACGTCTTTGTCAAAATACCCAGTTAAATTCCCCTGCATACTCTCTTAATTCAGAGTTAAATATGAAATATTTAAGTAAAAGGAATTTACTGAAGGGAAGAATAGTGACTAACGACGAGACCCATTATAAGTTACCCTCCTCTCATTAATCCAGAACGTTACGTTTCGTCTGGAATTGTTTTATTTTGGATTTTTTTAATCAAAAGCCTGCTTGATGTAATTATTAAAAAGTGGTTAACAACGCATTAGTAGTGTTCACATTATTATTTTGCAGTCTGGTACTTAATTAAGGCTCTGCCTGTACTGCATGAGTAGCGAGTGTTGCTCCGGGATAGAGATGGAAATTATGATTCTTTTCAGTGAATCGATTCTTTTGAGATCGTTTATATTTCGTCTGTGCTTAATAAAACAGTACTGCGATCCTTAATATTTTTTATTATCAATTTTATTATGTAATATATTAAAGTTTTATCAATTTTTATAGGATAACGGATAATACTATATATATATTTCGTATGCACATTTCATGTGTCATTTTGTATTATATTTAACATTAATCGCATTATACTTCAAATATGTACTCCTGCATGGGTGCTTCTGTGCCGAACAGACTAAACGAATCACCGAATCGCTCAGGCTTTAAATGTGTTTTTAAACGATGGAAGAGCTGGTCCCAGGACTCTTACATTGCCCCCTTTGTCTCACTAAAATAGTTTTTCCTTTGTGTATAGTGCTTCCTTTGTTGCTTTGTTTTCATGTGCAACCTACACTACCAAAATAGAGGAAACGCCTAGCATTTTTGGCATTACGCTTTAAAAATTACTACAGGGATATTGGCTGTAATGTTTATAAACAATGAAAGAATGTTACAAATATCATGCATCGAACGATGAAATAAGTAACTGTAGCAATAGCTGATCAGAGTTCTGCAATCTCTAAAAATTGCAAGTGTTCCCACAATTTTGTCCACTAAGGTAGTGTTTCCCAGCCCAGTCCTCGGGGAACCCCGGACAGCGCACCTGTACCAGGTATTCGGTGTTCCCGATTGGCTGGGAGCTGGGAGGGAGCAAAAACGTGGACTGCCGGCGTTCTCCGAGGACTGGGTTGGGAAACACTGCACTAGGGTATGTTTCAGTTTGTATGACTTTCTTCTGGGACCTTTCCTCCTATCTACCAAATATACGACATTCGCTTAATTTGTTTTTTCCCAATATTTCTCTGCATATGGGAATCCCGTCTCACACAGTCAGAATTTTATTTAAAAGATGTTCCAAGAGATTAGTCAATACTTCATTCAGTTATAAGTTAAAGAAAAACAGTTGCCCAGAGAATTTTGTCAAGTATCCAAGATCGCTGAACCACTTCAAACAAACTGGAACGCAAACGGTATCTAGCAACAACTTATAACAATAACAGCCCACCCAAGGTCACAAACACCTATATTTAATTTTTAATTTTTATATTTTTACCAGGACACGCTACAGCAACGTTCGCATTAGAACTTTTAAAAAGTCATAATAGTAAGGAGTTAAACCATTAAATTAGAAATCAGTTTTCATATGAACGGTGTTCCTTCAATAGGTGCTTCACATAATTGATTTATTTCTATTTTAACCGTATGCCAATGAACACACAAATTATTTTCTCAAGATTACAATTAAATTTTACCTTTGATATTTATATTTTGCAGTTTATATATACATATAATTCCTTCAATATAAAAAGCACTGTCTTCTTGTGATAATCAGTCATGCGGCGCTGGCCTATCTAGCTCATTAGAATCAAGGTGCCTTCAGCAAGGTTAATTGACCCACTTGGTAATATGATATTATTGACGTGACATGCAAATGAGTGACAGACCACCAATCGCACGTGCGGGCGACCGGTGCCAAACCCGGGCAAGATGGCGGTGGCGGCCCATGTTGCCTTTATCTAAATCTGCCAGTGATTAGCCTCCTAAAGATTAACCTAAAACGCCTGGCTTAACCTGCAAAAATACAATCGAATAAAAGCTGTTGTGGATTGCAGAATCTATAAATGAAAAATTGCATGTCATTTTAAAGTTTTGTCTTTACTGCAGGGCCAATGCGAGTTCTTCGCCGAGTCGGCCCAGCTTCCTGCATGGCAGTGGTAGCATCTCGTATTGGAGATACTCCTGAGCAAGAATAAATGCTTATTACTGAAATGGCATAAGTAAAATTTAGAGGGGAATATTTTAATACTTTTGCAAGGTAACGTACAAAAGGATCTACGCCTTGGACCAGGAACTGGCGCCATTATGGTTACAAGTCCATCTCACCAGCCTCTATATCGCCCTCTGCCTGCACACTGAGGGAACCACATACCTTCCAGATGAAGCTTTAGCTGGTCGACAACGATATGGGTAAGAGCGAACATAGAGAAACGGCAGTAAAACCTGTGCTCATGTCACCTCGTCATGTCATTTGTAAGGTTTTTGCCAAATTACTAACTGTTGCATTGATCCATTGTAGTAGCACTATGTTGCTGGTTAAGACGTATTTGCTATTTAATGAAATCATTTTAATGAGGGATTCTTGGGGAAAAAAGTCCTCCAAATTAATCTCATAAGATGTGCGTTTGTGGGGGAAATGAAACAGGAGGCTGGTGAGCCACGCCAGGCATTTGAGCTTAATTTGAACTTTGCAGTGCCAGTGATGTGGTAGCAATTAGACAATCCTGGAGGTGCCACGCCGTAATTATCACACATCAGGGACACATGCGGGGTAATTGGAGTGGCTGTTCTCAGCACTTCGATTTTCTACCTTGTTACCGAAGACTATAACAGACTTGTGACTTTTTCTGTGACTCTTCTGGCCTTTATTAGCCTTCAAAACACGTAACTCGACACCATCTTTTTAACTAGGATAGTTATTTACTTGTAGTGTTGATCTGTGTGTTCTGTCTCGTGAATACCTCATATAAAAAGGCTCTTAAAGAGACAAAGAAGAAAGTACTGACGAGATGCCAATTTTTGTCAAAAATAATCAGCTGGAAATGGTCTCTGCAGTGTCTGCCAATGTCCTTATCATTGTTGAGATGTTAAATCTGCCATTTGCTGTTAAGAAAAATACAACAGTTTTCAGCATGAGGGTTTACTGTGGCTATCGGGAGCCCCGGAGACGTGAATCTGCTTCTGTGGGCATCTGGTCCAGAAGCTCAGATGAATGCCTGGATTCTGCAGTCGTGGAGGGTGACATACAAGCTTGAATAAAGTTCACTGCAATTTGAAAAACTTTGCTGCATCTGTACCTCAGATTATAATAAGACCACAGGGATCTGTCAGTCACATAAATGGTCTGAGTCATCTACAAGCCGGCGTGAGCTCAGGCTGGCCTGGTGGGGACCGGTTCTCCAAATTAAGCTACATTCTCTGAAATGAAGTTCTTTGCTCCTGCTTCTCCAGCGGTGAGAGCAGGCGAGCGTGACGTGCTCCTGCCCCTCGTTAGGGGCGATAGGACTGGAACGTGCCAGCAGTGACGAGGAGAAAGTCAAAGGCACATCTGCCGGTCTGCGTACGGAGAGTCAGCTGGGACAAACCTCTATGGTGAGTCACCTGTCTGAGAACAACAGAGAAAGAAGGAGAGGAATAGAGCTGTAATCAAGGGGGAATAAGTACCTCTGTGATAATGAAATACCAGAGTTGATAGTATATGTCCCAGTGGAGAACTCTAGCAGTAAAAATACATCTATTTCAAACCATAGGAGTTTTGTGGAGCTGATCTGTCTTTAAGGATAAAGGCTGATTCTTCTGTTCATGACTTTTAGCTTCTTAACTACAAAACCATTAGCAGATTCTTTCGTATTGCACTTCATAGCCAGCGTTGAAAGTGGAGAGAATATTAAAATGAACGCCATGTCCCCCCTATTGTCACGCTGCACTGAAATGTGGACTGTACTCAGATGGTGTCTTTGAGGATCTGCATAGGAAGGGGTACACCAGTGTTTCCTAATACGGTCCTTGGAGACCCAGAGCCGGTCCACATTATTGCTCCCTCCGAGGTCCCTGTCAGACAGTTGATACCAGAGAGACGTTTACATTGATTTATTTAGTCGACGCTATTCTCCAAAGTGATGTGCAAAGCGAGGCAGATAATATATTACAAGCATGCAGCTCTCAAAGCAGCTGTCAAGGAGGTATAAAGTGCTTCCAGGCCGAGCTTGCAACGAGTGACCAGCAACAAGAGAATGTTGGCATTGGAACAAGGACTATACAGAACATGGTAGAACCTAGCATCAGGCTAAGCTATCAGAATTTCATGATGACTGGCTTCCTACTAGACAAGTGTCAGATATGGGAGCGTCCAATGTAGCAAAAATATTATACCTAAGGGAGAGTCAATGAAGGCAAAGATTAGGTCAGCGCACACTCAGAAAAAGGGTAAAAATGTGTACCTTGTCACTGGGGCTGTACCATTGTACATTGTCCACTTCTGTACCTTTAAAGCAGGGGTGGGCAATCTTATCCGCAAAGGGCCGGTGTGTATGCAGGTTTTTGGGATAACCTGTAGGTCAGCTGTTCAAACCCAGGTGTGAGGACTCTTCAGCCAATCAGTCCTCTAATTAGTAATCTAATTAGGGAGTTGCAGCGAAGACCCGCATACACACCGGCCCTTTGCGGATAAGATTGGCCACCCCTGCTTAAAATGTACCTACAGCTAAGGGTACAGTTGGCAGACTCTTGAGAGTACAGCCCCTGTGACAAACAGACACATTTTTTGCCCTCTTTTTCCTGAGAGTGTAGTCAGATGAGTCAGTTGACATGTTCCCGGAAAAGACAGATGTTAAGACTTTTCTAAAATGTTGAAAAATACTCCGCCGATCAAATATAGATGGATGGTTCACTCCACCATTGAGGAACACATGAGAAATGTCTAGAATGCAGGCAGTATTGGTTTGCTGAGCGAAGAGCGTAAGACCTGATGAGTGACTGCATGTTCGCAGGTACTGTTCCTCTGAAAGCAAGGACCAAGGACGTGAACTCAACGTGAGCAGCGACAGGGAGCAATGAAGAAAAAAACAAGATCGGAATGACATGAAACATTTCAGTCCATTAAACTTCAGATGTGCTGCTACATTTTTAATCATCTTCAGTGGTTTTGTTCCCTCTCAGTAAAGCCTCACTGTAAATTGTAATATGGTTATGATATGACATGTGTCTGGACTAGAAACTGAAATGTAAATTCTGATAAATATGATCCGATCTTCTTGATGTTATACAAAGTAAATCGACGAGATGGGGAGAGAGTTGCAATATGGTCAGCAACGAGCAGCTGCTCATATGACCTTGAGGAGACATCGAGGCTCCGCACTGTGCAGTGATTTTGTGACGAATGGTAGGATTGAGAGAATCAAGAAGCAAGTAGCTTTGTCTGTGAGAGGTTCAGCTTATCCAGGCTGTGATGCCAGCAAGACAGACAGAAATCTAAGGCGAGACTGTGGTGTCCTGTGGAGAGATGGTCAGGTGAATTTAACTGTCATCTGTGTAATAGTGGTAGGAGTAGCTGTATGACCAGATGGTACAGGCTAGATAGGAAGGGGACTGGGAAAAGAGGAAGGGGCCAGTGACTGAACCTCGGATACACCAGGAGTTACCTGAGATGATTTTGACAACCAAGCACTTGGAAAGATCTACCTGATTAGATATGAGTCAAGCCATCTGATATTATTCTCTGCAGAGTGGATGGCTGGCTGTGGTGGTTCACTGTTTCGAAGGCTATAGCCAGGTCTAACAGGATGAGGACAAATGACCGAAATGCAACTCTTGCAGATCCCAGACGTCCTGCCTGATTGAAATGTTTACTGGCTCTTACTGTGGTGGCCTCCCAGCAGCCAGGGGGCACTGTTTTCACACAACATTCAGTTCAGACTGTTATGGGGGGGGGGAGGACACATTGCTGAAAGTCAAATCACAAGTCTTACTATTTCATCAACCGACTGAACAATGACTTTCACATAAGAACAGAACCTGTGTCTAATTTACTAATAAGGTCAGATTAACCAGAATGACCTTTGTTTTTGATTGGCTATATGAAAACATTTTGGATTTGATATCTTTTTTGCTAGCGTTCTTTTAACTCAAGGAGAAAAAAAATACCATGTAAATGTGAATACCATGGAAATATGAAGTAAATAATATAGTGAGTATAATTTTCCTGACAAGAGAAAATGGAAAGCAATAAATTACCAACCTGCTACTTTGATCTCAAATGAGATGTAACTAGATGTGATGTGATGGCGTATAAAAGCCTTTGCCTCATCTTTTCAACTGAAGCTGCTCAGTGAAAATCACCCCTTTGGATGGTGTTAAAGCATTAGGTAAGGAAGTACATGGCAAAACCAGGATTATCATTCCCCAATATACCAGTGACTCATGCTGATCAGGCCATGAAGGATTGCACTAATTAAACACACTTGCTGTAATTTCACATGCTTGTAAGACAGCTGTACCATACCAAAAATAAGTTCCAGTTTCTCTACAATGGAAATTCACTTCAAAATCTGACTGTTTTCTGCTTGGCTATACCACTTCAATGGAAATCTTTGGAATGCAGCATGACCTGACTTTGTAATGGACTCTGTCCTGCATCATAAGATACATTGTAACATTTATTCTGTTGCAGGCGATCATTTTGGTTGTTCGCATTGAGAAAAAAAAAATCCATTCATCCACTACCACTTTTGAGACCACTATTGGAACACAAATCAATCTCCTGTTGGTCATAAATCTCATGCTATGTCCCAGTCACAGATGTTATAATACTGATTTAAGGAACAGTGGTCCCTCCTGCCTTAATATGTGGCTGATGGGACTTAAGTAACAGATTAACATGGGAAAGAGGGTGGGTGAGAATGAGTGGCCTTGAATTTTCACAAAGCCCCACAGTATGGGCGTAATAACAGCACACTCCATTAGAGTCAGTGACGTAAGAGCATTCACAATGCCCGATGCAGTGAAAATGTCTTGTCCTCCGATACCTGATGAGTCATCTGCTCATCTGCGTCATTCCTCAGCTTATAGAGCGAGAGAGAGAGAGAGAGAGAGGAAGGGGGGTGGGTTCAGAGAACATTCCACAGAAATAAGCTACCTTTAACCCCTTCTGTCATGTATACTGGAACAACAAGCTGTGGCCCCTTCCCTGTATTTGGTGTGGAGCAGTGTTTCCCATTCTGGTCTGTGGGGACCCACAGACAGTCCATGTTTGGAGCTGGGAGGGAGCAAAAATGTGGACTGTCTGACAGGGAGCTCGGAGGGAGCAAAAACATGGACCAGCTGTGGGTCCCCAAGGACAGAATTAGGAAACACTGGTGTAAAGAAATAGCTGTACAGTGTATGTAGGTCCTCTTTTTTTTGGGGGGGGGGGCATTGTGCTGGAAAAATAATACAGCAACCAATAGTCTTGCTACAATTGGAGCTATTGGCACTGAGCAGCAACTGCCAAATCTTCATCTTCATCAAGGTTCAAGTGTCACTATATCGGATATGTTTTCTTGTCATGCCATGTGAGGAATTACTATGACTGAACGTGTTCATGCCATGTCACACACACAATAACAGAAATAGCTGTGGCTTTTCACTTCAGGCAAATGAAGCAATTCTGCAGTAGAAATTGTGGTAAATTTCCATGGAACAGGAAATGGGAACTCACAGTGTACCACAATTTTGTGTATGTGTGTGTGAGTGTGTGAGTGAAACAGGGGTTTGGTGGTAATGACTGCATAATTAATACCTCGTATGCTGTTGTCCACTGTATCTGTTTTAATGAATTATGAAGGTAGGTGGTCTCACAGGCAGCACTGCTGGCTCAAATATCCAGGGCTGGGGGTTCAAAACTCATCTGTGTCTGGAGTCTGCGTGGTCATCTCGTGTTGGATGGGTCTCCTCTGCGTCAGTGTTTCCCAATCCGGTCCTTTGGGACCCACAGACAGTCCATGTTTTTGCTCCATCCTGGCTCCCAGTAGAGCTGGAGGGTAGCAAAAATGTGGACCATCTGTAGGTCCCCTAGGACCAGGGTTGGGAATCCTGCGCTAGATTTCTCTTACAGTCCAAAGACATGCAGTTGGACAGGTGCTGCACCCCTGCCTTGTAAGATACTGAATGAGTGGCTTGAAAGTGGATAAATTAGCATTTATAAAATGTATCTTGCAACTAAGCTGGACAAGATTTTTGTTAGAGAGATAGAATGTTGCATTTATTGAAACGAAAAAGACATTTCTGTTTATTTTACTATATTTAACTAGATATATTAAGTTCACCTTCTTGGCTCCTTATGGTTGCTATGATACCATTTTTCTTTGATCCTTACAATGAGAAAGAAAAATGCTTAAATTGTAAAATCATGATTTTTATATATCCGATCACAAGATAAAATTTCTGTAAAATCCATTAGCCCACCATACACCAAAAGTGTGGTAGATGTTCTTAAATAGCACTACTGCTAAGTAATCCTTGAGCATATTTTTGCAAACTTGAAATACTTAAGTCGTATGGTTATTTGGTCAAATCAAAATGAATCAATTAAATGAATGTGGTAATACATCATTAGTCAAATCATAACTCAAAATAAGATTTACAAATGAGCAACAAAAGAATAATTTATTAATGTTGGAAAAAATGATTTTTTTAAACTATGTTGTCTTTACGGCATAAAAGCAATCTATTACAAGAATCAAGAGCTCTCACAAATTGAGGTAAATTTTCAGATTCCAATCGTTAGAACAATGTATTTACACTCATATTCATGAAAAGCAGATCTAAAAAATCTTCCTTTACTTAGGAATTAACATGGCTACTTTATATGATGCTATACTGCCCTCTGTGGACGAAAAAATGTTTATCTTCTCCCTGCTAATGGTCTGATAGTCTTCCGCTATTTAAATGAATCGAAAGTTGTTAAAGTCCATTCAAACATTGCAGTCAATTGTTGAACATAACTTTAGATAAGCATAACATCTACTTACGATACAGAGCATTATGCTTATCTAATCTTAGCGTGATAGAGACCATAACGACTAACGGAAGTTGAATTCCAGGAAAATAACGGTGCAGCGCCGCACTGAGTGAGGACGGTGCCTTCCCGCACCTTCCCAGCAGAGGGCGCTGTACATACAGCAATGAGGACCTAAATTAATTATGTCATCTGGTGAAAACGGACAAAAGGGAAGACAGCAATACGATAAACAGGTACTTAAAAGTCTTAAGCATTGTAATACGATAATTGCTTTTTAACTGAATACAATACTCTGACCTTTATGAGTGCACAAATTTAACCTTGCCGGTGAATAGATATACCTAACGGATTTCAGGAATTTCTGTTTGCACACTCCTCCCGCACTACACGGCCTTTGCACGTGTTCTCATACAATCATCAGTCTGGCGTAACGAACTGCGTTGGGACAAGGTAACGTGTGCCGTAAATGTGACGGACACGTCGCTGACCAGTGGCTGCTGTCCTCTTTTCCGCAGGCGAACGGCAGGTGGAACACAACGGAAGAACGAGCCGCCGATAATCGCAGTCTGGTTTTCCGAGGGGATTGTTCTTTCCGCCAATAGATGCGGGCTGTGGTCGTGACTGATAAGTCTGACTGCCAATCGCGTTTTAGATTTAGTATGTGGGCGTGTACTTTGGGGGCCGATAGAGAGGCGGGAACAAGCGGCGCACACTCGGTTCGGTTGTGGAGTCTGGCGGTGGGGGTGTTATCTGTGGTGCAAAGGGGAAAAAGGCTGGAGAGGGGAACGGGAGCAAGATTTTTTTTTATACCAAGAACTGTGCGGAATAAAAGCCATTCCCGACATATCGGTTTGTTAATTTCGGAAGTTTATTGGGTTTCCTCAGCAACTGCGCCAGGTAAGCTGCCAGAGTTTAATGGATTTTTTTTAGCGGAATCCTCGCCTTGGAGACGGATTATTTGAACTGACCGTCCAGCGATGGAGGACTAACCGCCCGTCAGCCAGCCGCTAGCTCACTTAGCCTCTTAGAACTTTTCAGCGTCAGGAACTGAAATGTATTAAATCAAAGTAAGCTCTAGTTTGTGGGATTTATTTCCTGAGCCCCAGACTGGCTGGCGTGTTTCGGGATAATTCTCCCCATCCTGTGAATTTGCTCTTAACCTCCAGCCTCCTGCATACCCCATCGCACTCGTGACTACGTAACTTAGCTCAGTCTTACCGCCGTATCCTTACCTCCAGGGAACAACAAGCTCACGATACATTTAACCTTATTTATGCGCTCTTATAAACCCGACCTGCTCTTTGTCTGTAACTAACGCGACGGTCTATTCGTGGCTGATTGGACTTAAGGATGAAGGCCGTTAAATATTAGATAAATAACTTGTATGTAATTTTTTTCTAGGGTAGAAGAGTGAACAAGACTGTGCGGTCCTTTTATTCCTAATCATCTGAAATGCAGATGGCGATCGGCGGCTCTTTTAGGCTTTCTAATAGCCGCATCGGCTGGGCGGGTATGATTTCATGAGGCCGGCATGATATAAGCGCCCGTCGCTCGGGCGCCCCGAGTCCGTCCAGCATCAAGCCCGCCGCTTAAAGCCGCACTGCCGGCTCCGCGTCTAGGTCGCCGACCCACTTCTTTAGGAAGCAATGCTGTGCCGGTTCAGATGGTCCAGAAACCCAGTAACGACGGATTAATCCCCACATCCCTCCAGATCAGATGCCTCGTGGTTTAAGGAGGGCAAATGTGTCACACCAGTGGTAATAAGACGATGAGGAATGACCACATGGTGTACAATTAAAAATGTAAAAAGTGGGAATAGCTTTAAATGATGCCGCAGCTCAGGCTTTAGCTGTTCAAATGGACGTTGAGCCGCATGGATTATTTGGCAGGACGCCTTTCCTGTAACGGTAACATTTATTTCAGCGCTGAAAATGTGTGTACGGATGACCTTTGAGTTAAGACGTTAATTCCCATTTTCCCCTCCAGCTCTCCGCACCACATGTACGCGGCATTGAGAGGTGGTCCAAAAGGCTATATCCTCGTTGGTGGAAAAAGGCCACCGTTTGGTACTGGGGATGCGATTATGGGGGTCCCTGGCGGGCCAGCGGTGGTCAGATCGGGGGCATCCGCTGGCGCCATGCTGAGTGCTGCTGAGTTTGATATTGATCATGATTGATGTTACATTATAACCGCGCTGAAACCCTTCAGGCCGTCGCTCGTAATCAGAATTGCAGTTTTAGGTTGCAATCTGTAACTGACTAGAGAGAAAATTTAACTTCATTTGCAGCCGTTATGTCGGCTGTGGGTGGACATTACTGGTTGGGATTCTTCTCCAAAGTGTGAACAGGTGTTAGGCGCCGCATGGACCAGAAATATGTAAAACCCCGACCACGACATGTTGTACTGTGTCAAGCTGTAGTGTGGTTTTAGATTTATTCACTGTTAGTTTGAGGAATAAAACTTTTTTTTTAAGGTTAACTGAAACTTAATAGAGCGCTCAGCATCAGGATGGTGAACGCTTGTCAAAACGTTTCATGCTGAGTTTACCAGGTTGCTTATGTGTAATATGCCTCCCTGAACCACTAGAAATTACATGGTAGTTTGTGTTTGATTATGAATTGTTCTAATGAGGTTTGTGCTGATGAAGATCACAGCCTTTGTGAGCATGACCTTCTTAAGACGGCCTGATTTTTATTTTCCCTTTTAAATGGGGTCATTAACTAATATGCCAGCTTAATGAACCTTCAGTTGATTCATTGACGAGTGTGATGGACTTCCTGAAGTGATTGCAGAATTCCCCCGGGCACTGTCAACGGCCATATGGGGAAATGGGGCGGGGACTTGGATTACCCCCCCCCACCCCCCCAATCTAATCTTGAGAGGAATGCTGAAAATCCGACATCTGTCCAGGAATCATAATAATGAAACTATGCTCTGTCACAACAAACCACCCACCCACTGTGTAGGATGGTGAGCAGTTGGCTTGTATGGTTCAGACTGCCCATAACCAGGCTGTTCCAGTGTAAACCACCATCCACGCAACTGGCCAGGAATTTTAAAAAAAACTGCAGTGGTATCTTCTGAAGTTTGCTCAGAATGAAAGTGCCCACCAAGCAAATAATTAACCTATTAGAATGTTGTAATACTGTTGGAATCTGCAGCCCCCCCCCCCCCCCCATCCTCCAGAGCTGGGTGATTGCCACGATAAACATCCACTGAAATAGTGCAGTGGACACCTTCTCTCCTAATGTGTGGGATGCATTATTTTCTCCTAAAGTCTTTATTTTTTAAGGAATATATCTTAAAGGCAGTGACATTGTCTGGGAAATGACTGCAGTATGTCAGTTCGGTGACACCGTACATTTTTCCGGTACATCAACTCCTAGATTCTTCGTCTAATTGATGAGATTGAAGAAGCTAGGTGTATCTAATTGGGCCATCAAAAGCACCATTTTGTCTGCTTGACCCCTGCAGTAGCCCAGGAAGTGATTCTATTGCCATGGGAAAAATGCTTCTCAGATCCTGTAAATTTTGATGATTGCTGCACCCCATGGGCATTTTAACAGCATTTTGATATGTGAATTGTTCATCAAATATCAGGGAATTAACACTTTCCATTTTTCCTCCCCCAAACTCCAGGCGTCTTGCTTTGTTCTGGGGTTCAGAGATGGCTCAGCGGAGTGGACAGGAGGACCCAGAGCGGTACCTGTTTGTGGACCGCGCTGTGGTCTATAACCCGGCCACGCAGGCCGACTGGACAGCCAAGAAGCTGGTATGGGTTCCGTCGGAGCGGCATGGTTTTGAGGCGGCCAGCTTGCAGGAGGAGCGGGGAGATGAAGTGCTGGTGGAGCTAGCAGAGAACGGCAAGAAGGCTCTGGTCAACAAGGACGACATCCAGAAGATGAACCCTCCCAAGTTCAGCAAGGTGGAGGACATGGCGGAGCTGACCTGCCTGAACGAGGCCTCCGTACTGCACAACCTGAAGGACCGCTACTATTCCGGACTGATCTATGTGAGTTCTCCACCCTTGTGTGTTTGTCAGGATCTTCCAAAGTGTGACAGCATTTACCAAAGGCTTATGCTCAATCCTTAGTGTCAATGTGCCTTGAATTATTGTGAAGCTATTTCTCCCCTTCTTCCTTGTTTATGGCTGAGCAAAAGATGCTTCAAGGGTCTGGAATTAGAGTTGAGTAGCTGTTCCTCTCCCACACCTCCCCTGCTGCTTTGTCTGTTTTGTTTGTCGTCATTCATCTGGACTTTCACCATAATGGGCTGAGTTTCAGCCAGTGACCTTGCTATTGGAGCCGCGCTTGGCTCCCGTGTAGCGCACCCCGTTAAAACGCGGAGGGTCACGGCAGGAATTCCAGTGAACAGTCCTCACCATCCTTTTCGATAGTGTTTCTGCACAATCCTCCAAAGGATCTTTTCTCTTCTCCCGTTTTGCATCGGAATTGCCGTACTTCAACATTCTCATGACCTGCTAATTAACTTGAGGTCGTTTTTTTTTTTTTTAGGATGGGGTGGGTGGACTCGTTGTGCTACGCCACGTTTATTAGTAGGATGCCCTCAGTGTGGTCAAACTGTGGTCAGGGAATTAATACTTCAACCAAAAAGATGTCATGTTGAATACGTCTCTGCTGTGACCTTGACCTAGTTTGTGACGTGTATTACCAGAATAGTATTTGGGTTGGTTGTCAGCTGAGACTGTTCTTGGTGTGCTAGGAGATTGCTGCAACTTGAGCTATTTCTGTGGTTCTCTTCTTCCCCCCCCCATTTGGCAGGATATGGAACTGTCAAGCTTGAGCCTTGAATCATGAGGCATTTACTGTTTTAGTTGGTGAAGCTGTTAGACATTTAAAAAAGAGAGGTCCTGATGTAATCCTGACTCTTAATGTGACTGTAAATGGTTTTCCAGATTTTACTCTTTCTCACCCCCTATAAAAGTACTTTTGGTTGGAGCCGTGAGATCTCCCATGCTCTGCACATTTCTTAATTAATTTAAATGAAATGAGTGAGGGGGTTTGGGGGTGGGGGGGTCTGTTGGAGCAGCAGGGTGTGATGCTGTGGCTCGTAACGTCCTGCACCCAGTGTGGTGTGGGACGCCCCCCCCCCCCCCCCCGCAGCATCACACCTGGCTGTTGAGGACTGCGCTGAGTCATGGGCTGGCTGCCACATTGTGACAAAGCTGTCCCTGACTGGGTCATGCTTTTAGGCTTCGGGCTTGATGCCATTTTAGGCAGAATGACTTGGTCACCCTAGTATGTCCCCTTCCCCTTGTGATCTATTTAAACACCTATTTATGCTTAATGGGAGTTAAAGGCCTTAGAAAATTTTGTCTTTGCTTATGACGGTTGTGGGAACCTGTTTTTCACAGTGAAGACAGCAAGTCTGGCTGATGTGGGCTTGCATGGAAGCAGGGGAGATGTGATTAGCTTTGGATCTGTACCAGGCCAGTACCTGCCCCCACCCTAACCCAGGGAGGGGCAATGTCAAAGCAGATATTTCCCTTGGAATTCATACCTTTTATAGGGCAGTGGAAGGGTTTCTGTAGGTATGTTTAGATGCTGAAAGGCTGATGGTATTACAGACCGAATTAGATGGATGGATGGATGCTGTTGTTGGCTTGTTTTGTTGAGGAATATTTGTCAGGTGCTGACATAGCTACTTTGGCTCTTTGCAGTAAATCGGACGCTCAAGCTCATTAATGGTTTCCTAATTCATAAAAAAATCATGACTGTGGGCTACTTTCACGGGAAGTTAAAGCTCTTTTTGGGCAGTTAGGAGTAGGCAAACTCTGGGTTTTTGGTGCCTTTTGGAGAGTTTTATCTCCCGTAATATTCTTCTGGACGTGCCTAATATAACTCACCGCTTATATTATTATGAGAACTTTTATGTGCTTTTATTTAGACCCGCTCCCCAAAAGTCTTCATCTCTTTGGCGTATTCTCGTGATGTGACGGGGTGACCGTTGGAAACCATTGAATTTTTCCGCTCTGCTAGGCTTTATTGCTCTGCTCTGTATGATTTTGGTCTCTGCTTTTCTCTGTAAGTACGGCGTTGTCATGGTTCCGCCGTGGCTCCAGTGCAGACTCCTCTAAATACAAGCTGGAATGGCTGTTAATATGAACTTGGCAGAGGGATCGAACTGGCTTCTGTTTCTAACCCGTATTTTTTTTAACAGATGATAGTGGTAATTTATGAGAGAATGGACTGCGGTTTAATTGCGGAGTATTATTATTCATGAAAGACCACGTAAGGCACGTCAGAATAATTCAGGTGTGAGTTCGTGATTTTGGGCAAAAATGGATGTCGCTAGACACACTTAAACTGAGGCTGAGTAGTACCTGCTCCGGTTGTATCGCCCCTCCCAGCTAGCTGCCATTTCCTATTTTGTGTCGCCTCCCCGTTGACCCGCTTGACCTGCCTTCTGCTCTCTGTTAGGATTCCATGCCACAATCCTCCCTCACCTGGTTGTGAAGCCCCGCAGCAAACTGTAGCCTTGGTGGCTGACATCTGCTGTGCAGCTCAGGCAGCTGGCTGCATAACTCTGTAACCATGACCTTGCAGTCTGTTACTGGAAATCACTGATGATTGGTGGAACCAGATGAGACGAAGCTAGCTTAAACATTTAAAATTTTGGGCGGGGAAATCGGATCATTAATATAAATTCCACTGCATTATTAATAGAAGAAGGTTGCAGATTCTTTGATTGTGCTGGTTGAATCTTCCTTATTTTTTTTTTCTTCATTCTTTCCTCAAAGAGCTTCAAAAGTTCCTGGGTTCCGCTTCAGAATATTTGTCTACGGAGACAAGACTGGCAATAAGTGTTAATGGGAGATCAGGGTCAAGGGCCTGAGCTGATTGGTGCAGTTGACCTTTAGCAGTGATCTGAAAGGGGGCTGCTTTCTGAATGGCAGGGAACTTTGTTTTTCCAGTGTAGTGCTCTGAGCATGATCCCAAATCCCAGTGACGACACGGGACAGGCGGGAGGGTGTGTGTTTCAGCTGCTGCATTCCTGACTGCCCCCGCCCTCTGGGGGCAGGCGCGCATATCCCACGCCGACTCGCGGGTCTCGTTTCGCCGGAGCGTGGCTGCACCAGCACCCGACACATGCTGTGGTCTTTCCGACCTGCAGTCTTCGGGCTTTGGCTGAATGTGGAATCCCATCATCGGTGGATGTCGGAGGGATTCCCTCACAGGGTGAAGCATGGCGGAGAGGTGTAAGGTTCTAAAGGACTTGTGGGATGGGGGCCCGCTGTAGGCCACAGCCGGAACAGCTTGACACTGGAGCCACTCTCGTGACATTGGCGTCCCGCTCTCCGTATCCAGGCCGCACTGCGGCAGGTCGTTTTTATACAAGGGTGGGGTCAGTTCGTAATTAGCTGCTGAATGGAGTTTGAATTGCAGGGGCCGTGGCTTTCTCCAGGACGTCAATGTAGTTTTTCCGGGATAGGAAGGGAGCTGGATGTCTGCTCTGCACAGTGGAGTGGTGGGTGGGACTAACTGGTGTTGATGTTGAGCTGGGATGCCACGGAGCCTCATTAGCAGTGGCCTGTGTTCTGCAGGCCTGCCCTCTTAGAGACGGCCTCACTGGAGTGGCGCTCTCCTACCTGGCAGCTTCTCCTGGGGCCTCTTTGAGCCTGTAACCTAACGGTCCGAGTTCCCTAGGGCCGGACGCAGCAGGCGAGGCGGAGACTCGCCGGAAAGCCGGTGTGACCCGCGACATCCGTGTCGCGCCCGCAGAGCTGACACTGGGGATCGCTCCCTGGGGCGTCCAGACAGGGTACGGGACAACAGCCCCCCTGTGGCGGCCTTTGCAGATGGGAGTCGCCATTGGCTGCCGGCCAGCTCAGAGTGCATTCCATGCCGTTGGGGGTCTGTGTGGCGAGCCAGACGTCTGCTGATCTGTCCCATTTCATCACGTTCGGGGTCTTTTGGGAAGCGGGAGCTTAGTGGATGTGTAACTGTGGCTGCATTTTTTTTGTTTTATTGTCTGCCCCAAGGGTGTGTTGCACATCGGGTTAGGAGGCTGTGCCCATGATCAGAAGGTCACCAGTTCAAATCCCAGTCGGCTGCCTAATGTCTGACCCCACATGTTGAAAAATGTACATCACTTTGGATAAAAGAGTTTGCTGGGGGAAGGACTAAAAAGTAACTATGACCGCAGTAAGTCACTCCTGAGAGTGAAAAGCCGGCGTGTCTCTACCATGTCTCTCCATCTTAAATTCCATTCTCCTGTGCTCACTTATACAGCAGGGGGTAGTTCTCGCATTGCAAGTCCTGGAGCACAAGCCAGAATTGTAGCTTGTTGCTCCTTCAGGCTGTGATTGAAGACCGGTGTCTTGGCTGTCTTTGTGGAGTCTTTACAGTCACCCCCCCCCCCCGCAAAAAAAAAACTCATCCATTCAACCGTTATTGCTTCACTTAAGTTACTGGGTTAGGTTGCTCCTTTGACACCACCCCCACCTTCCCGCCAGCCTGAGCTTGGAACCATAACTAGTGGTCTCCAGCATAGCTCACTCGAGGGGCAATGATTGGACCTTTGACTCGGCTCCTCCCTATTGCCGTGTTTCAACCAATAGAGTGGCTTCACAGTACCATATTAACCTATCACTGACCAACATGCATGTACACAGTTAATTAGAATTAGGCTATCCACGTGTCTCGTGAACGGGGTTTATCATTTTTGTCCTGCCACCTCCCAGCTTGTCTTGAATTGCATATCTGGTCAGATGTGACGATGGGTGGTGCTGCCTAAGGTCATGAACCCCAGGGGGAAATCTTGTGCTGTGGACTGTTGGTGTTTTCCTGACTTTGTTCCGCCGGAGCAGAGCTACAGTGATCAGGGATAAGGAACGGTGTCGCTCCACACGCTGCCGTTCTGCGGGAGATGAAACATGGGGGCGGTGCTTGAGCGGGCCGCTCTTGTGGCTCCCAGTGGACTGCAGCCGTTGCAGTGTGTGTGCTGGAGAGGGTGTGTTGGCGTTCCCCCGCCGGCCTGCCTGGCTGCGATAGCGAGCGCTTCGCAAAGTCCTCCTGCAAAATGGGAGACTCCTCCAAGGTCAAAGCCTTCGTTAGGTGGGTTTTGATAACTCCCGCCTGGCCCCGTCTCCTGTCTCTCCAGCTCGTAGCAGAGCCCCCCCCCCCAGCTCTGTCTGCTCTGCTATCTTCACCCTCCCCATGAGCTTGGCGGTTTATGAGGCTCTGTGGTTACTGCCAGCAGATGCTTTCGGTCTGTGCTTTACACGCCCAGATCCGGGGAATGAAGCAGGGTGCTTTATTGGTACATGCCTGAACTCCGTGCTTCAATTGGTTAAACCTCAGCAACTAAATCAGTTTGTTTAGATCCATTAAATAGTTAAGTCTCTTGAATTTTAATTTTACAAATTAGTATTTCCCCTTCTGGGAAGACAACACTGTCCTAAGAGTTGCTCAATTGTTTTGTTCCTTGCAGGGGGTACAGTGGTCTCCCGGGAAAGTGAACTTTTAATAATCAGTGTATAAAGCTTTGTATACCATCTGTTGCAGTATTTGCATAACCTCATCATAAGGATGACAGTGTGATTATATGTAACCTGTGTGTGTGTCTCTCTGCCTTTATGTGAAGGTAATACTATGATTGGGGGGGATTCTGTTGAATAATAAATCATGAAAAGAAGAGTAACTTGGTTCATGTATTTTATTTGTTTGGAATCATTGGTAACTGGGGCTGCTTGTCCCTGTCTTCCTCTTTCAGACCTACTCTGGCCTCTTCTGCGTGGTCATAAACCCTTACAAAAACCTGCCCATCTACTCCGAGAACATTATCGAGATGTACAGGGGCAAGAAGCGCCATGAGATGCCCCCCCACATCTACGCCATCTCGGAGTCGGCCTACAGATGCATGCTCCAAGGTAGGCCTGCGTCTGCTTTTCCTCTCCCGCGTGTGTTTACCTGAACCCCTGTTCCTTTCTTTCTCTCCATTGTCAAGCCAACCTCAGGAGCGTCAGTGGGATTCATGTGGACCCTGCGTGTGGCGGTTCAGGCTTAATTCGGTTTTGTCAGCTTTGTTAGTGATGTTGGTCATTAAATCGGGTTGGAATATTCATATTGGCTTTGAATATTCATGGGAGACACCGGTAAGACTATGGGGAGTGTTAAAACTTAGTCTTCATCTCAGGTCACACATTGACAAAAGTGACTTCCACCTTTTGAAATAGAGTAAAAAGATGTTGTCTTAAAGCATTGAATTATCCCCCCTTTACTTGCAGTTCCTGGTTCTGAACATCCAAAAGATCATCGTAGTCACTTGTTCCCCTGAGGTGTCAGGTTAATACTGACGGCCCATTGTCGTTGTTCCTTTTGCTCATGTGAATAGTCGCATTATGGGTGAAGTGTCGTATTGAAGCAGCTGCAGGAATATCCCGCGCTTGTTAAAATATTAGGCTGTTGAGATAATAGCATGATTTAGAGCTGCCCCAATGTTGTTACGCAAATGATACCTGTGATATGAAGCCAGGCTTGGCGGAGCCGCTTGATTTATTGCCTATTAATGCATCTCTTTTTCCGCTGTTGTTCTGTAACATCTCAAAATCAGGCTGGGGTCGCTGGCACTAGTATTGCAGATTTAAAATTATTCTCTGGCATAAATGTGACATCTGCCTTTCTTTCCTGAGCTAAGAGTTGAATTCTGATGGGGGGAAAACATTTTTTTTTTCTTTTTTGGAAACTAGAATTGCATTTTTAGATGGTAGTTAGTTTCGGCAGCAGGCCACATTCAGAAAATCCGTATAAAACCTTAGAAGTGAATGTGCTTCAGTGTATAAACATTAACTACAGCTGCTTTTTTTGTTATAATTCTTAATGTTGGGAATTGGATATCTGCGGCTTGCAGTTATAAAGTTCATGAATTCATAGACACCGTTAAATGCTTTTCAATAAAGCTCTGTTGACAGTATGTCACTTTGAGTACTGGTGATGGGAGACCAAAATAAAGCCATGTTTTGAAAATGGAATCAAAAACATTTCCATCATATTGACAGATGAATAAACACGAGGGTATAAATTGGCATCTGACAGCAGTACCGAGCTCCCGCTTATCAGCAGCATGTGTTATCTTGCCCGTCACCTGACTTTGTAGCATATGAGAATTTTTAATGTTTATGGTGTTTCTGTGGAGCAGAGATTTCAGGATGTTTTACTGCTGGATAGTTCTGCTGTGATGCTTAAATGCTCAATAGCTGAGGTGAAGTAACACAGCCACCAGTGTGGGGTATCTGTGTCTAGCTTGTTATATAAAAGATTCACTGAATGAATGAAGGGATACATTGCAATTGCCTCTGATACAATGCAGGCCAAAAACGAAGGTGGAATTTGCTGTGTATGAAATGGCATCTTAAGGAGATCCCGTGGAATCTTGTGTTTCCAATACGTGCAACGATAAAGTGAGCTGTTGGCATCGTGGGCCTTGCAGAAACAGGGGGAGCTTTGATAATGGGCTTCTGTTGGTAAGAGGGGGAGAGGGCTGTTTGCGAAGCTGGGCCCCGGCTTACGGCACACACGTGGCGTGGGAAAAACAAACTGTCTGCGTCATTATTCACAGGTAGCAGGATGAGGGGGCGCCACGCAAAGTCGAGCTCTTTAATGCCCGGGTGTTCGACAGATGAATGCAAGAGATGCTGACGGAAGGCCAGGCCGAGTACGATTCGCAAACCCAAACCTCCCTCTAGTCTGTCATGTCCAATTTCACCTTCAGCGCCTTATTAAGGCGTCCGCTCCTGTCAGAGGGGGGAGGGGAGATCCTTCGTTAACTGGCTCTGAGAAACGCGGACCGTCTCACGTCATGGGAGGAGGGAGGGGCCTGATCGATGCTGCTGCCAAGGTATGGCGAGTATTCTTGCTTTTGAGAGAGAGATTAATCCATCGGCAGTGTTGTGGAAGGGGAGTTATCTGTGGAAGGTGAGAGAATGAGCAAAGGATGCTTTGTGTCTTGTGTCCCCCCCCAAGAGATCTGAAGTCTGTACTCTGACCCCCCAGGGAGAATTATGATGAATGAGCTATGAAACTGAAACTCAGCCCTCGAAGACCCTTAGGATCTAGTCGTTTAGGACTCTTTATGTGGATACCCTATATTTATTGGGGTGGAGATCAGCCTTTGTTCTAGGAGCTACTTAAGGAACCCTAAGGTCAAGCCTTCCTGGTTCAGCTTGTTTAGGTGAAGACATTCGTTTGCATTGAATCTGAAGCTGCCCACTCCAGAGACTGAGGCCGATCCAGTCTGGGTTGCCAGTCGGGGCCCATGAGATTCCTTTGAGGATCTGGGATTTTTTTTGCCCATCCCTGTGATATTGTGTTTCCTTGTGACTGGTCTGATTTGGCCAGTTTACCAAGAACCATAACCACAAACCGCTGCGGCAGTGGCTAACTTGTTTATGGGTGCATTTAGCGCTTGATCTTCTGCACCTCTGTAATGACGGCTTTACTTTATTTAACAAGATTAATAATACTTAGCCTTAAATGAGGTGCGTGAATAAGTGGGTCATTTCCGACAGATGGGTCATTTATGTGCTTTAAGATAATATTAGCCTGACATTTTACTAACTCTTAAAACTGTGGTTCAGATTAAACATGGCTGTTTCACTGCCCCTGATCTCTTAAATGCCTGCAGAGTGCTTTGCTTTTCCAAATGAACCTTTTAAGGGCATCCTGAAGCAAATACAGAAGCTGAGGTTGTGTTTTTAGCAGAGAGGCAGTATATTCGACACGCTGTCAGTCATGCTGGCGTATCTGCTGCGATGCTAAAGCTAAAAGAAAGATCAGTGTTTGTCGGCCAGCCCTGTTGGTGATGGGTGTCTAGCTCTCCTTCCTGTATCTCCTCTCCCTCTCGCTCTGTTTCTTCTCGGGGATCCTCATAGAGCTGATCCATTATAACTTGAGACGGTCGTGATGCTGGCTTCTCGAGAGGCCTTGCCAGCCACCTCAGCAGGGTGCGCTGCTGCCTGTACGGCTGCCGGAAGCAGGGGGGGGAGAATATGTAAGCGCTTTGTCTCTCCGGAAACTGACAGTACCCCCGCCAGCCCTCCCCAAAAGGAGCCCCCCAGTTCCAGCCTTGAGAGATTTACTGCCGGGCTGGCTGTGAAATGTGGGGATCTGAAGTGATTCAGTGTAGGGCGGGAGTTCCTCCCCTGTTTCTGGGGGCTTTTCCTCCCTTTTGCTGGCCTCTATAACAGCGTGCTAAATGTAATGATGGCCCTGGTCTCTTCCTCCTCATTGGCTAGACGGTGTCATGTGACTGAGTGGTCGGCGAGGAGATGTGTGGCAACCATTTCCACATTGAGATCGTACAGGGTAGGTCAGCCTTCCCCCAGCGCTGCCACAAACCCACCCCCCTGTCTCGACACGTAGTCGAGGAATGAGGTCATTTTTGCCCAGAGATGGGCCCCCGAGCACCAGTCCTCGTGTGGGCAGCCTCCATGGTCATTAGTGGACAATGGCGTGCCGGCCGGCCGGAGGCCCCCCCCCCCCTGGGGTACAGTGTGTGCCTGTGGCCCTTTTTGCCGTGACTATAAATCTCTGTCCACCAAGCATGCAGCGCCAACCAGTAATTTTCCCTTTCATTCAACTCCAGACTTTGTTTTAAAAGAAAAATATCGAGGCTGATACCAGTTGTAAATGAGTTTTTGAGCTGTGTGTTTGTCTGTCTGTGGAAATGTGGGGCCTGACCTGTAATTCTGTGCTAAAATCTGTTTCATGGCTTCTTAAACATTGCCGAAATTTAAATCTTGCCCCCCCAGGGGTTGGCTCCGGGGCACATTCAGGAGCTTTATGAGAGAGTCTCCTGCTGTTTCCACAATGCTCTGAGAATGCTTTAAGGTTCTTTGTTATAACAGCTCGGTGCTGTTACACACACACACACACACACACACACACACACACACACACACACACAGACGACCTTGGTGCTGAGAACAGTACAGCTGTTAAAAATTAATCCCTTTGTTTTCACCATTTTACTGTCTGGGGAAGTTGCTGTTGTTGGGTGGGGGGGGTCGTGCTTGTCACCCATGCGTTAGTATGTAATGCATGTAATTCTAGGGGATCTTTTACAAAGTGAACTGCTACTTCACTGCATCTGAAGTTCCTTTGGATGTTTAGCAGAAGTTACTTTCTGGCCTTAGGTGTTTCCTGTTGGCGTTTTAACCCCCGGAGCCAGACTGATCTCTGACCCGCCAGGTCCCCACAGAAGGGAGGGAGGTTTGTAAAGCATAGCAGTCCTTTAGAAGCCCCTCCCCCGAAAGCCGTTGAATAGATCAGCTCTAAATGTGCTTCCCAGTAAGATCAGTCGCTTCTGTGCCGGCAGGGAGGGGAAGGGTGTTTTTGCATGGTGCGGCTGATGTGCTCCGTTCGGCTGGTGATGTGCGCTGACTGATAAACGGTGCGAGTCCATCACGAAGCCAGCCAGCTTTTATCCTCGCCATGATGCCACGTGGCTTACAAGGAACTCCTCACAAAATGAAAGTGGTTTGTCATTCAGGCAGATGTTTAACACCAGTTCTGATCATTTGTTATTCATCTTAATTTGTATTATTTAATGATTTAACTTTCTGCTGGGTGAAAATAAAGGTTGGTATGCTCAGGGATTTGAATGTTCCTCTATCTGTGAGTCTTATTATGGTCCTGTCTGGATACGGTTTACTAGGTTCAGCTATAGCATGTAGTTTAATCTATGCAAGTTTCTCAGTGGGTTTCGACGCTGTGCCTGTGAAAGGAAGGTTGCTGGTTTGAATCCCAGGGTCAGTACAGTGTCTTCATCTTGAGGCCCTTGACCCACAATAGCTTCAGAGATGGTCTGACCCTACATCTACTAAATAAATGAAATATAATGTATTGCATTTATGTAATTGTTGGTACAAATTTTAGCCTTGAATGACCATTAAAAAAGAAATAACTATAAAAAATTCAGCATTCCATTTTGGACCTTAAACAATAAGCAGGAAAATCCACGGATATGCTCATGCACCCCATCCTGGGATTATGACAGCGGCCCTGTCTTGTGCGCCATGTCAATACAGAGGTTGGAAAGCGAGGTATTTTACGAGTGAGCTTCTCTGGTGTCCTAGTAAATTGTGATCACTGGCAGGCCTCCCCCCATCCAACCATCTGTAAAATGCTGGGGAAACCACACTGTCTAACTTAAGCCTGGCCTAGACATGTAGGCTGCAGAGCGTAATAATCACCGAGCAGCAAAGCAGTCAAAAAAACCCATGACGTTATGCTAAGAACATAAGGAAAATATGTACAAGCCCAGTGGGTCAAGTGTTAGCAGCACAGTTACCATGATCAGGAGCACGGTTAAGAAGGACGCAGAGGCTGGGGCCTGGAGCCCAGCATGGTCCGTGTCTGCTGGCGGGACGCAGAGGGCAGGACGCAGGGGCCCGGAGCCCAGCGTGGTCCGTGTCTTCGGGCTGCATTTGGAAGATTATCTCATGTCATTTGAGGTAAAGCTGAAGCTACATCCTGTCATTTTGCATTGGTACTGAAGTGGTGCTGATTTTTAGGAGTTCAGAAATAAAGCTCATGCCTTCATATTGTTATCTGATGGTACTGAACTCAAGCGATTCAGTTCTTGGAATGTCTCTGCTAGGCACTAAGTCTGAATAATATCCCAGCACGTGTCTGGTCTCAGCTGGCTGCGTGTCCTTAATGCCCTCTACTGAGACTCAAAGGAATCGCTGGTCTTGGGCATCTGTCTGATGCTTCAGCAGGGCAAATAGAAATGGTCCCTTTTCTGCAGTGATAAATTAAATTCTAATTTGTCCCCTAATTGGCAAATGGCTGACTGGGGAAATGGCCTTTTTTTTCCGCCCTGATCACTGACTCTAAGGTCTTCGAGGCCCCCCTGTCCTCTCACCTCCCTCGCTATTCCAGCCAACGTTCCACAGCCGACTCCCCTCATTCGGGTCGTGCCAGATGGCGGCTGAGGCGCCGGGAATCGGCAGCGCAGCGGCGTCCCGGGGAGAAGATAAACAGCCCGTCCCCGACTCGAGACCTGTCGCCAGTCGGCGCCAGCCGGTGAGGTTTCCGGCTCGCTAGCAGCGACACGTGTGATCTCCGTCTCCCAAGCCGGGCCGAGCCCCGGGGCAGTTATCCCGTGCCCCTCCCATCCCTCCTCCGAATCCAAAAAAGCCACAACGCCTCAAATTGCATCCCTCCGTGGATTAACAAAGGGGGAGGGTGGTGTACAGGGCTTAGTTACTGCACTCTTGATGATCCCAAACCAGTAGTATGGTGTCTCTAAGTCTGCATAATGGACGAAGGGCTGTGAGAGGGAGTTTGTAAGGAGGTCAGCACATACTTCGGGAGACGCATTCTGTAGGCTCTGCTTTTTTCATGGAGTCGCCGTCCCGCCGCTGTGCACTGAGCCCTCGTCAGGCCCGGTCACTAGGCGAGACGGGACGTGTAATCCCTTTAGCTGCGGCCGTGTGGGAGTGTACGCAGCCTGGCCTTTCCCTTTACTCCATCTGCTGATGATTCCATTAGGCTTTTTGTAGCGCGGATGCTTTGCTTCCTGGCCATTCTCTGGCCCGGGGCTTTAAATGGGACGCCGGTGTGCCGGTCAGGACAAGCTGCGTGGTGCTGTGAGGCAGCCCCGATAGTCCTTAGCGGGGCAGAGGGGCATCGCCAAGACGACGACTCCCCTAGGCCAGCAGCCAGATGCTCATCTGCGGGATGCTATGACCTCGCGATGATACTCTAGATCCCTGCATGAATGCAAATCATTGTTGGTGTGTCTGTATTTTTTATATTTATATATATATATATATATATACTTTGAAAAAGCAAAACGCAGCTTATTCCTGGTGTTCCCACTGATATATACCTTCACTAATAAATTGCTGAACAGAAATAGTTGTTGACAAACAGCAGTTGAGCTGAATGTCCTGAATGTCCCGGTTTCTCTCATCTCCCCGATATTGGATCCACCTGGCAAGCAGGCCGCCAGCAGCATAAGAGAAGCTTAACTGGCATTAAGTCTTATTCCAGAGTAACGGGGATGTATCCAGTTATGCGGCAGTGTTTCAGCCTGTCCCAGGGGCGTCTTCAGCTTGTTTCAGTTAAACCGTGCCCTCAGTGTTCTGCATGGCTGAACAACTTCTGCTGTGAAGAAGCTATTCGTGGCTCCATCCTGTCGCCATTCATTAAATCATCATGATTGCTCTTTTTAAACTTCAAATCCTTCAGCTGTCTTGCCGCAGATGTGGTAGTGGGGCTTTTCAGCAGTCCTTATCAAGCAAATAGATTATATTAGTGTGTGTGTGTGTGTGTGTGTGTGTGTGTGTGTGTGTCTTGCTCCTCAGATTCTCTTTACTCTTATATATTCTAAAATGTGCCAGTTGATACTTCCCTGTTGTGAAGTTCACAGTTGCACTAAAGTGTGTGTGGTCTAAACACCCTGTTGAAATCTGTTTGGTGGGCAAAGATGAGACTCATTAAGTCTGGTGAAAGGTTGCTGTTTTCTCTGAACAATACAAAGTGTCTCTGCATGTGTGACTGCTGTGCAGCTTACACTTGCTGTGTATTAAGGAACTCGTACAATGAAATTGTCCAATTTCACCCTGAGAGTAAATTTTCATTTTTTGAAATTTGTTCATGCAATCATAGCTTTTTTTTTTTTTTTTTTTGGTTTTTTTAATGAGCGTTTTTTTCCCCACACCTCGTGACTTTTTGGGATGCCACACATGACCTATTATTGGTAAAATTAGCTCCACGAAGCCTGTGGACCAGCTGAACATCTGTTATTGGTTATGTCACCTGATACCTTGTGTAAGTACTGTTGTTGGCTGTTAACTACATCTAGTGACGTATCAGATGCTAATTTTACGGTTTCTGGGACACTTGGTCAGCTTATGCTAATGTTCTTTTAAGCTGAGCCATGTGTTCAAAACCATTTGTTGTGACAATTACTTGATACTGAGGCAATAACACAGGAATACATAAGCTTTTTATTGACCTTGTTTTTATGAACTGATTCTGTAGATTTCTTGAATCTATAATTATTCCTACATGCTGAAAGCTCTCTGCTTTGGTTACCAACGACCCTAATTTTTGCCCCACCTCTGGCTTCTTGTTGTGGGGCCCTGCAGTATCCGGGGCTCTGGATGACCACCATGGGCTAGCTAGTTGCTTGGCAGTTCACTAGCTGGGTTGTGTGTGCATGTGCACCTTGAAGATCGTGCCTCTGGATTTGCCACACTTGCTTCTCGTGGAAACCATAATGAAGAGTAATGAGCTTCATATGCCAGAACTTGGAAGCAAATCTAAGGCTTTACTTGTTTTTCTTGCATCTGTCGTTTAAATCCTGTTGATGAGCCCATGATTATCAAGAGTGACACAGAAGACGACACGCGAACCTTTTCTGATGTAGCACCCACCGGGGGTGGACAAAATATTGGAAATGAAATCTAAAACATGCATAATATTGAAGATAAATCATAAGTAGAAATGCATGTACGAAGGTGGGTCATGTAAAATTGAAAGCCAATTATTAGTCTGAATGATTTATAAAAGAGATAATCGGCAGTTTAATATGATTTTTCAGTGTAACATGAGGCAGCAGTAGGCCTGTCACAATTATTACATAATCGCCTGATTGTGATTATTGTAACTGACAGCAATAATTTTTTTTCTGCATAATCGTTAGAATCGTCTATATTCATCTGTATAAAAATAGCTGGATGAGACGGAACCGTCAAATCAATTTCCACATCGTTTTCTGCCGTTTAATGTTTGAGTGACGTTTGTTCAATGACATCATCGCGTTGCGCTTCTGATCCGATGCATACCACCGGCCCTATTTGTACCTCACACGTCTGCACACACGCAGCATTACACTTCATGGCAAATTTTACGGTGGTGCCAAATTTGCACCACTTTGTTTCACGACACTTTCATAACCCAGCCTGATCCCATTAGAATTTTTTTCCCACTACTTCAGGTTCATTTATAGGACAAAAAAACTAGAGAAATGCGTTTTGTCCGTTTATTTCTGATCGCATTGATTTAAACAGGTGCACATAACTGGTACGCAAGTATGCATTCGCCGTAAAGCGTTACGCTTGGCAATTTCTTGTAGCAGCATAAATGCGTACGTATTTTATATGTATTTGTGCTGTTATGGGAAGTAATTACCATGCATTTTAACCTTTGTGTGGCTAATTTGTATTTCTTTCATGTTAAACTAAAATGCAGTAATTTGTCATTTGCACATAAAATAAACACGCTTTTCCATAAATGGCGAATGTGTAATTGCGTACCAGTTATGCACATACCTGTGTATAAATTGGTATTATGAAGCCATCACCTTCCATGAGCTCTCCAGTCGCCAGATCTAAACATCAGTGAACCTTTACTCTGCATTGCGGACTCCAGAATTTACCACAGCTTTCTAGCTCCCTCAAACACTTGGAGGCTTTTATTGAATGGTCCTGACTTGGGTGGCTTCATCCCAGGAAGGATTCAAGGTGTCGTAATGGAGCGACGATTGGAGAAGTACCAGACGACCTGAGGAAACAGGCTGGGCTTCCTCCAGACCAACCGGCGCTGCTCTCCTCTTATCCTGCAAAGTCCATTGTGGCTCTGTTGACCCAAGCTAGATTTTTGGACCTCTTCATGTTACTCGAAGACCCAAAGTGTTACACCCCTGGTTACATGCTGCAGAATCATCTGGGTTTTGGCGGTTGGTCATAAATTTTGGCGGTGGGTGGAAGTTTGTGCAGCTATGACTGCGGCATTGGAGAAACTGCATTCTTACTGCTTCAGGATCGATCCCTGAGGGAGGCGTATGGCTTAAACATGAGGGTAAAAAACACTTTGCTGGCACAGGGCAGCGAGTGGGAAGAGAACTCTGGTCTGGTGTGTGGAGGTGCAGGTGCAGCCCCCGCCGGAGGCCAGCGGCTGGTGTGGAGGCGGGGGCGAGGGGTGCGAGAAGCTTGGCCGTACATACGTGATGAGAAGCTCGTTTTCCTGCGACTGTCCTCAGCCCTCCCCTTGGCTCCACTTCACTTGGACTCAGCTTCTGTTTCCTGATATGGGGACGAGAAGCCGTGATAAAGGATGTTGAGTCATGCCTCGTCTCCGACCTGCAGGACAGGGGCTGTCCGTAAGAGCCACCTGTGGGTGAGGAGCAGATAGCGCCGCTGTTTTAGGGCAGGAAGTGAGCGCCGTGCTTCTGCGGGGAGCTGCTGGGAAGGTAACATTGTGAGCTAGATACCTTTTGGTCCCTCCAGTCGCTGCACTCAGCCTGGCTTCCATCGTGGTACTTGATCTTAAGTGACTTTGTTGATGAGAAGCTCTCATGGTGTCAGCAGGCTGATTGTGACCTGCTGCTTGAACCAGTGGCTTCTTTACCCCTTACTGGACTGTAGCCTTGTGTTATGTGTTCAACATTAGAAACCACAGACCACCAGCCCAACCTTCCTGATCTGATCAGCCATGTCTCTGTCTTACTTCCTTCTCCCAATGCAGTTGGGCAGCTGGTTTTGATTTTCAGAAAGTGGGCATAAAGCATTTACTCATCTGAGAGATATTTAATCTCCAGTGGTCATGGTGACGCAAACAAGCAACAGTCATGACACTTTTTTTGTGAAAACAAGACTACTTCGCTCACTGTTTTCCATCTGCGACAGTTATTTTGATGGGAAACCGGAGGCACCAGTGGTGTGTGTGGTGGTTTAAGGCAAACCCCCATTGGTTTGTCGGATTTCCCCTTCAGGTCAACCGGGGTTTTCTTTGCTTTGTGTACATCTGCTGCATGCCGCCTTTCTCTCCAAGCTTCACACAGCCCAGATGGTATCATGCTGCAGCTCTTTGCTTTCTTCTGTAATAAATGTTGGTTTGTCCCGCCGTACTGTTATGTGCAGGTAGGGGCAACCGTGGCTCCGTATGTCACCTTAAACGGAACGATCCTCTGTGTCTCTCCACCTTATGGGCTCATTATCAGTTTGGGTGTCTGTTTATTCCGCATGGAAGCCTCGATCCATGAGTGTTTGTAGCTGTGGAGGACCGGCAGCTGG